ATAATTTTGATATCTTAAAATTAATAAACAATTTTAATACCAATTTAAAAGTTGAGGCACCCAATTGCCATTTTAACCTTTTTTATTCCACCAGAACCGAAATCGCTTCCCTATAAATACTACCATCTCCACCACTCCTACTCTCACTCACACTCATAACACCTGGTACACTTCCACGCCAGTTCTAATGGATCCCAAAGGCACCATCGTCTTCTCCACCGTCGGCAGGTCAAACTATGGCTTCGATGTCTTCTCCGTCCAGCTAAACCACATCACTACCGCCACTGAGCACCGCCTCACCGATGGCATCTCCATCAACTTCAACGCCCAATTCATCGATGAAGGCCAATCCATTGTCTTCGTTTCCGAGAGATCAGGATCGCCCCAAATTTATCTCACTCGCCCTGGCCTACCCAAACCCGAGCTGCTTGCATCCGTACCCCAGAGCCTCTTTCACGATCGTCCCATCCTGAAAAACAACCGACTCTACTTTGTTTCTGCTCACGAGCAGCCCGACCGCCGATTCCAGAGCTGGTCAGCTCTTTATTCAACTGAAATCGGTGATAAGGACAACAAGATCACGCGGCTGACCCCTTACGGAGCTGTCGATTACAGCCCTGCAGTTTCCAAGTCTGGGAAGTTTATTGCCGTTGCATCTTATGGGTCTCGTTCGTGGGGCGGTGAATTTAACGAGCTCAACACGGATATAGTTGTCTTCCCAGAATCCGACCCGAATAAGCGTATTCTGGTCTGCGAGAAAGGCGGTTGGCCGACCTGGTCATGTGATTCCTCCATTTACTTTCATCGCCAAGCTGACGATGGCTGGTGGAGCGTTTTCCGTGTAGATTTCCCGGAAAATCCCCATGAATTTTCTGGGTTCCCGATTGCTCCCCTCCGCGTCACCCCACCCGGTCTGCACTGCTTCACTCCGGCAGCATTCCACGATGGAAAACGACTCACCGTCGCTACTCGGCGGCGTAACAAGAATTATAGACACATTGAGATTTTCGATCTCGAGTCGAAGGTGTTTTACCCGGTTTCCGAGTTGATCAACCCGAATTTCCACCACTACAATCCTTTTGTCTCTCCCGATTCCACATTTCTCGGGTACCACCGTTTCAGAGGTGAATCAACTCAGGGCGAGACTACGATCCCACATCTCGAGCCTATCAAGTCTCCGATCAGAGATATTCGCTTGCTGAGAATCAACGGCAACTTCCCTTCCTTCTCACCCGACGGTCATCTGATAGCCTTCAATACATACCTTGACCTCAACGGTGGCGTTAAAATCATCAAATCCGACGGTTCAAAACGATGGACTTTGATCAAACACCGTACAGCCTTCCACAACTCGTGGAGTCCCGCCGAAAAAAACGTTATCTATACTTCTCTGGGTCCCATATTCCAGTCAGCAAAGACGACGGTCCAGATTGCACGAGTCGTATTTGACCTTTCGGATCTCAACGGTGATCGTGAAGAAATCCCCTGTGATGTGAAGATCCTCACAAGGGAAGACTCAGGAAATAACGCTTTCCCGTCCTGCTCCCCCGACGGCAAATCCGTCGTGTTTCGATCCGGTCGGTCTGGATATAAGAATCTGTACATACTCGACGCCGTGAACGGCGAATTTGACGGCGGCATCCGGCAATTAACGAATGGTCCTTGGATTGACACCATGCCGAGCTGGTCACCTAAAGGCGATCTCATCGCCTTCTCTTCCAACATGCATAATCCAGATAATCCAGCCATATTCAGCATCTACGTCATCAAACCGGACGGCTCCGAACTTAGGAGGATCCCCGTGGCCGGAGCAGAGGGATCGAGTGAGGTGGATAGGGAGAGGATCAACCACGTTTGTTTTAGTAACGACGGAGAGTGGTTGCTGTTCACGGCTAACTTCGGAGGAGTGACGGCGGAGCCAGTGTCGTGGCCGAATCAATTTCAGCCTTACGGGGATCTGTTTGTGGTGAGGTTGGATGGGAGTGGATTGCGGAGGCTGACGTGTAATGGATATGAGCATGGGACGCCAGCGTGGCACAGTGGAGGTGAGCTGGACATGGGGCGTGTTTGTTTGGAATTGAATGCTGAGGTTGGGGACAAGCTGAAAGGTGAATTTGAAGAACCGCGTTGGATAACTTGTGATTTCTAAGTGAGCTGTTGCTCATTTCATTGTTTCCAATTCGCAAAGCTTTATGATTGTGTGATTTCTAATAATGGACTGAAATAAATTGTGTAATTTAAATTATTAGATAAAATAATTCTCTTAATATTAAATTGGTATTTTGTAATTTGTAAAGCTTGATGATTGTGTGATTTCTAATAATGGACTGAAATAGATTATGTAATTTAAATTATTAAATATGATAAATCTTTTAATATTACAGTTGTATTTTGTTGTAAGGTAAAGTTTGCATTATAAAATAGAGATTTCATAAAAATAAATTAGCCCATGCAATTATTGAAAGGGTTAAATAAAACTATTAAAGTGCTTTTTTTATGTTTGTACTTCAAAATGAAAATTGCAATTTTCATTTGTGTTTTTCTTATATGTAACTTTATGTACATATTAATAGTAAAATAAATATAATTTTTTATTATAAATATATGTTAAAAAATTAAAATTTGATTTTTTAATTTATCAATTATTTACTAATGAAAGATTTCATCTTTAGCCAATGTCATTAATCTTGACAACCAATAAGGCTTATATTATTAGTCATGTGATTTAATAATAGAGTTATTTGTATTTTTAGTTATAAGTTTAGAATTTAATGTATAATCTCTATATATTAAAAAAAAACTTATAAAACTTGTTTAGTTGGTAATAATGGTTATTTCTTAGTTAGCTTGAAATAATTAAGTTTTAATGAGTTACTTTTTTTTTTACATTAGAAAAGAAGTAAAAAAATATGTATTATTCATTTATCTTTTAGTTTAATAGAAAATTATGAATAATGAGGCTTAAATATTTTTAACTTTTAAAAAAAATTTATTAAATTGACATTATTTTTATATTTTAACCAATAAATAACTATCATCCCAAATGAAACAAAACCATAATATGAAGTTTACTCCTGCAT